GCAAGGTCTCAGGTAATGGCATATAATAATAAGCACTAATGGTGGCTACATTTGGAGTGCAGCTCTTCTGATTACCTATCAACCAAATATTCCTAGAGTATAAATTCTATATTATGGCAACTGACAATCATTAGAGGGTAGGGTAAATCTGGAAACACACATGTACATTTATATCACATTATATACACTAAAGTATTTTAAGGTGAAGTATAATAATAACACATTCAAACTGACTTAATATTCAGTACCAGTAAGGATAAGTAGAAAAATCAAATTCTATATTAATTTGACTTAAAAGCTGCCATAACAGAAGAAACCAGTAGATTAAAAGGAAGGAGGCAGAAAAGTGTTTATTTGAAACTTTCACAGTTTACTCTTTATATCCTTCTTCTTATATACAAAGTTATAAATCTTTGCTTATTTGATCAGGGTTCCAGCTTTTTTATTTTCTTGGTTACAAGATGACTGCCCTCAGTAACAAGAACCACATGCTTTCTCATTTATCAAGGGAGAGAAAGGAGCCACATCCCACAATTTTGGGGCTAAAGTCCTGTAATTGGTGCTGATTTGCTCAACCCTGAACAACTTCTTGTGGCCAGGGGAACAACGTAGGTTGGGATTGGGTTATCTTAACTGGACTATGGTGATAAAGGTGAGGTTAATTTCACCTAAATTTCTTAGGTGTACTCTGCACAATGTGGGAAGAGTGGAATAAATGTTGGGATGGCAACGACAGTGTCCATTATAATCACTTTCAAAGCATATAAATATGTAACAACTATATTGTTAGTTGCAGTTAAACTAGATCTAAGAAGATGTAATTGTGTCTGACATCATTTTTTATGTTTGATTCTAGATAAGTTTTAAGTCCTCACCTGTTCCCTTTTGTACCATATCTGGATCTCAGCAACTTGATAAGAAAGCTTGCCCCGATCCAGATATGGTGCAAAATAGGTGTTTCCTATTTTGGTGCTGGTGGAAAATTCAAGCCATACAGTCCCTGCCCTGTGTGGGCTTTTTCACCCAAGTGCCATGTCCTAGCCATGAAAAAAATCCCAACAGCTTTTTCTCCTACTCTCTCAAGTCATTTTAAAACTGCTTAGGAAGTCTGCTGTACTCTTCCTAGAAAGCCTCATTATGTAAGTAATAAACCTTTTTATACCCTGTTGGTGTATATGTGGTATGCTAAGTCTTGAAATATGAGCCAAACTTTGGGTGAGGGTTCATCTCATTTCTGTGGGTGACTGCAACAGCACATAAACTTCAAGGTAGTCAGTTTAAATTCCTGCAACCTACCTGCTGTGGTCTGAATGTTTTTGTCTCCCCACAATTCATATGTTAAACTTAATCACCAATGAGATAGCATTAGGAGGTGGGGCCTTTGGGAGGTGATTAAGTCATGAGGACAGATGCCTCATAACTAGGATTAGTGCCCTTATAAAAGAGGATCCAGAGAGCCGCCCCGTCTCTTCCACCACATGCGGACACAGTTAGAAGGCACAATCTATGACCCAGAAAGAGCCCCACTAGACATCCAATCTGCTGGTGTCTTAATCTCGGACTTCTTAGACTCCAGACCTGGGAGAAATAAATTTGCATTCATAAGCTACCCAGTATATTTTTTTTTTTATAGCAGCCTCAACAAACTAAGATACCATCATTGTAGTGTTTCATTATTCTTATCACCAAGTGCCCAATCTTCCTCTTGATAATTAGAGTCAGAAACCTGGAATATATCTTCAGTTCTTTCTTCTTCTTCCTTTTTTTTTTTTTTTTTTGAAGACAGGGTCTTGCTCTGTCATCCGGCTGGAGTGCAGTGGCACAATCACGGCTCACTGCAGCCTCAACCTCCCAGGCTCAAGTGATCCTCCTACCTTGCTGGGATTACAGGTATAAGCCACCGTGCCTGGCTTCTTTCCTCTTTTTTTTTTGCCCATGTGCCTTTACAATCCTTTCTGCCAATTCCATGGCTAACATCTTGGCTCAGGCAGTCATTAATTCTTCATTTTATTTTATGTCTTCTAACTGGTTTATTTGTTTTTCTAGTCTTGGCCCCATCTTTCCTACCCAATAATCCTTCCTCTACACTGCTGCTGAAGTAATTCTTCTCCAAACTTGCTTAACTAATCCAGCAATTTCCCACTACCTTCAGGATACAGTTCAAACTCCTTAACACGGTTTACAAAACTCCTCATCATCTTGCCATCTACATTTCCCATTTCTCCTGCTGCATACCTACATACCACAATGTTTGCTTCTATGGTATGCTCACCTGCAAAATATACTTACCTCCACAGTTCATAGACAAGGAAATATATACAAAGGTATATATTCCTTTTTCTGGAGCATACTCACGTCTTTCATTAGCTTGGTCAATTCCAACGTATTCTTCAGGACTAATTTTGAGCTTTGATACATTCTATGAGAAGTACTTCCTGTTTAACCTAGGCTGAGTGAGGTGTTTTCTCCACATTTTAGCAATAAAGTTTATTTCAGTGTTTATTATCACTGTAATATCTGATTTTATTGTATATTTTCCTACATGTGATTCTCTTAAGGGCAGGCACCACATTTTTCATCTCAGAAGGTCACAAACTATTAGAAAAATGGGCTTGCAGATACATGTACAGCAAAGAATAATAATTCAAGATGGCTCATGGAAAAAGTATTCTGAAAAGTAAGAGAGACATATGTTCTAGAAGAGACAAGAAAAGGCACAATAGAGAAATTAGAGCCCTCATACATTGCTGGTGAGAAAGTAAAACGGTACAGTCACTTTGGAAAACAGTCTGGTAGTTCCACAAGGGGTTAAACATAGAGTTACCATGTGACTCCACAATTCCACTCTTAGGTATATATCCAAGAGAAATGAGAACATATGTTGACATGAAAACTTGTACATGAATGTCAACAGAAGCATTATTCATAATATTCAAAAAGTAGAAACAACCCAACTGATGAAGGGATAAATGAACTTAGAAAACATGCTAAGTGAAAGAAGCCAGTCACAAAAGACCACACATTGCATGATTCCATTTATATGAAATGTTCAGGACAGACAAATGCATACAGACAGAAAGTGGATTACTGGTTGCCAGGGCTGGGGAGAAGAGGGAGAAGCTTGGGAGAAGTTGGGGCCAAAGGGTATGAGGTTTCTTTTTGGGTTGTGAAAATACTCTAAAATTGATTGTGGTAAAGCATGCACAACTCTGTGAATATACTAAAATCATTGAACTGTATAGTTTATAAGGAGAAAGAGATTACTCTGGGGAAGGGAGAAAGATTTCATGGAGTTGATAGGATTTGAATTCACTGATAAACAAGTGATATAAAAAGCAAAGTGATGTGCTGTAGTGACTAAACAAGTCCTTCTGTTGGGCAGATCTGGCTTTAAATCCACTTGGTCAATTTACACTTCCTAAATCTTTAACCTCATCTAAAGTGTAAATATATTAATATACCTACTTTGTAAAATTATTATGGTAAGTTATATAAGGGATTTAAAATATTTAGTCTAATGCCAGGCACATAGCAAATATTAATAAGAAATATTAGTTACTCTTAATATTATAAATCTGTTTAGTGTTGAATGGGACACAGTGAACACGTAGATACATCAATGGGAAGGAACTCTCAGAAACTTACCTGGTTTCCAGCAGAAAGAGATATGAGAGACAAAATAATATAAATGTAACTTTATTAAGTTTAAGAAATATTTATTGAATACCTTTTTCCTAACTACTAGACACTTTGCTAGACTGCTGGATATACAAAGACAAATGAGAAGTGAGTAGATTGCTGGATATACAAGTGAGAAGTGGTCCTTGACTTGGTAGTCTAGCAGAGGGATAAACAAATATGCGTAAGAAAGCATTATATTTCTTATAAATGTTTTTTGTACGCACAAAGAAGCGGGTGGGCTGGAAAAATAATGTAGTCAAGGTGACTTGCTCAATACTGAAACTGCTCATTAACTACTTAGGCCAGCACTTATGGCACACGTCTTAGGATGCCTTGCTAATATTTTCCGCTTCCAGTACAGAACAGAGACTACACGTTTAAGCCAATTTTATTCAACAGATGAGAAACCCAGTGTCCAAGGATTAAAGAATACTTGTTATACAAGGAATGTGAATATTCCAGAAATTTATGCTCAAAGTCCCCAGGTTATTGTCTTTGTTTCTCACTAGACTGTAAGCTCCTTGAAGACAAGTATCTTGAGTGTTACCTTGTTCACTCTTGAATTGTCAACACTTGGCCCAGGACTAGGTATGTGGTATACAATCAATAAAAAACTGTTGAATGAATTTTTTAAAATTCCTCCCATGGCAAAAACGGAAGAAACATTCACGAGTGGACTGCTAGTTGACTGTTTCTCTCATCACTATTTACAGTCTGAAACGGACAAAGACATCTATATAATCATTCCTTCCTTTAAATAATCTGTGAGTTAAATTCTTTTCCTATTGCTTCAGGAGAAGCTATTAGGCAGAAAGCTTTTAAGAAAGGCTTTGCAAGAAAACTCTTCAACAGAGATGGCACGTATGAATTGCTGTGATCTGGAGTTAAAGACAAGAACAAAAGTAACTCTAGCGCATAATTCTTTGACCGAAGTCATCTTACTGGTCACTGGTCGGCGGAGGCGTTCAGCCTACTTGCATCCGGTGCTTGAGAGTTCAGATAGGCAAAGGTGAGAGGTAGCATCTAGTCAACATCCATTTCTTGAGCACTTACTACATGTCAGTCACTTTGCTTAGTCCCCGTGTTTACTCTACTCTGCTTGGAAGTGGTGAAGAGACTCGGCGGGATCTTCTTAGGACCAATGCCCCAAAGTTCCGGATGGAACTCATTTTGATTTGGGGGACGGTTTATTTGCAGGGATTAGGTGGAGAAACAGGGCCTGCTACTCAAGAGGAATGAGAAAGCGTAACTAACAGGAGGTAGACTGGGAAGGAGCAAGGCAAAGTCACTCCTTTTCACAGGGCAACTCTCCTAAGACCATGCTCAAGCTGGGATGGCAGGGCTCTGAAAATGGGGCCCCGACCCTGGTCTCAGCCTGGGGCCACGTGACGCGCGTGTTTACGTTGAGTGACGGGCGCTGGGTTGGGCGGGCCTTGCCGGAAATCAACTTCCGGGGGCAGAGGTGTTCGAAGCCGGGTGGTGCGTGGGCTACTTCAACCTGTGTGACTGGGCCGCGGTCTCACCTCAAGGGCCTGGGGCCGTGCCTCGGGTGTACGCGTAGGGTCTGTGTGCTGGGGGTGGCTCACAGGGCAGCGTGGGTGAGCGGCGCAGAGGCGGCAGCGGAGAGCGAGAGAGGGGAGCAGGTAAGTGAACGTTCGCCTTCCGGGGCCTGGGTCTTGGGGTCGGGGCCGCGCGAGGCGGGCGGAGAGCGCCCCACCCGGAGGAGGAGCGCGGCCGAATTTCCGCCGCCTGCAGCCCGCCTGCTCCGGCCTCGCCCTTGGCGGTCGCAGCGACCGGGAGTCAGGGGGCGTGACCAACCTCCCACAGGAACGGAGCCAGCTCCCGGGGCTGGGAGTGCCCACTCGTTCCTGCGCTGGCCGGTAGGTACCGGTACCTGCACGTCCCAGAATCGAATGTTTTCGAAGGTCTACGCCCACGAACACGTGATTATTGTGTCACCGAAGCGCCTATCGAACGGAGACCTTGATTCTTGCTTAGATCTCACAGAACGCGCCTGGTTTCTGTATCCCCTTTTACTTTGCCAAGTACACCGGGGTAAAAGCTCTACAGCGTCCGCCAGCCACATTTCCTTAGAGTTTCTTGGGCCACATGTTGCAATAAAAGGGGCATTTCAGGGTCAAGCTAGGAGCCAGTAACTTTGCCAAGTGGTGAGGTATCCTTTATCCCCGTTAGCGCGCCTCCCTTTCCCAACAATAAAGATATTTCCTCCATCTGCGCGTGTCGCCAGCTGCGGAGGAAAGCTTTGGACATGAAACCTATTTTTGGCTTCACTTTAAGGAGTGGAACCCTATTAAAAGCTGCGCTGAGTGTTTTTTTGGTAGGATGATGTTGTTGCTGCTACTCTCACTTGCTTCCCTGATGAGAGCTGGGGCAGAGCTTGATTTCCTGGAGGGTGAAGTCTTGGTCACAATTTTAGGTGACTCAGCGGCCCCTTCCGAATTCTCTTTCCTTCCCGCCCCTCTCAGCTGTGCGAATACTGTTGCCACCTTTCTCTCCAAATGTTAATCCGGATGGGAGTTGGATGATGGTTTTTGGAAGCAGTTTGCATGTTGCGTGGTGGAGTTATTGGAGTGGGCTGACATTTCACTTCACAATTTAAGGCAAAAACCCCCCACAATATTTAGTTGGATGGGGTGACAGGGACTGACAACAAATTCGCTGTTGTGTTCTCTGCTGTCGGAGAGTTCTACACTTCAGGATCACCTGATTGCCCTCTGCTGCAATTTCGGTTGCGTTAAGGGGATTGGTTATACTGTCTGTACCTGTTAGGTAAATATAATAAGGGGCATGCCGGGCAGAGTGCACCTGCGTGGTGCTGGCTAACCAGTAAACTGTGTGGTAGAGAATTGCCTTGGTTACGAAGTTTGGTATCCTCCAGGCTGCCTAGGAGGGTGTTCTGTGGGCTGGGAAATCTTCTGAACTGGTTTCCTAGCAACAGTATAAGCCCAGTGGAATAAACATAAAGAAAACAAAGTGATGAAAGTTACAACTTACCTCTTTTATTAAATGGAAAAATGTAGCTTCTTCTTGGAGTGATCCACTCAAAACTTCTGAGACATTTTTGTTTATTTTGATCATCTTAGTACTTAATAGCAGACAAAAGAAACTGCAGAAAATCATCCCAGAGGGACATCACTTTGTTTTTTGGGTGGCATTAAAAAACAGAAAAAAGACGTTTAACAATGAGCTTGTCTGAAGCTTAAATGGACAAATAGGAATTTTGTGTGACAGGCATTTTATGTTGTACTCCTATCTATATATGTAAGATGTATGCATTACATATGATTGTTACGAATGAAGATAGTAGAAGACGGGGTGGGAGTGGAGTGGGGTGAATGAGTGGATAAGACTGGTTCCATTAAGTAAAATGGAAGGGGAATGTTTTAGATAAGTTGTTCCCAAACTCTGGGTTATAATTACGGCACTCCTTTATCAACCTGTTCTTGTGTTTTTTAATCTTCCTTGAAAGTTTATCAAATGTTCTTGTTTTCTGTCCAAACAATGAGCACTTAATTGAAAAAGGCATCTCTCTTTAGATTAACTCTTTGTGTTTATGTATATCTGTTTCTTATTTACTAATGATAAATTAATATTTTAGATTTCCAGTATTTTAAGGATTTTTGGTCTCCTTACTGTTCCTGCCCTATTCCCATACCCAGTAAGTTTGGTTTAGCTCATTTAAATTGATCCTTATTTTTAAAAAGGGCGTGTGTTGCTTTTTTTTTTTTTTAAATTAAGGTTTATTGAGGTATGGTTTTTAAGTAAAAAATAATTTTTATTATATTGCTGTATAAAGTCTGACAAATGCATATGGTAATGGAACCACTGCCACAATCCAAACAAATAACATTCCCATCATTCTAGAAAGTTTCCTCCCCTCACTCATAGGTCCTAGCAACCACTGATCTGTTCTCTGTCCCTATGTATAGCTTTGTCTCTTCTAGTATGTTATGTAAATGGAATCATACAGTATGTAGCCTTTTGTTTCAGGTTTCTTTCACTTAATGCTTTGATTCATCCATGTTGATGCTTGGTTGTTTTTTACAGCTGAGTAGTATTTCATTGTGTGAATATATCATAATATGTTTATTTGCCATTTGATGAACAATTTTTGGCATTTAGGAATGAAGCTACTATAAACATTCATGTGCTGTTCTTTGTACATTAAGGTACAGGTCTTTGTGTAGACATACGTTTTCATTTCTTTTGGTTAAACATCTAGGAATGGAATTCTTGGGCCATGTGCAAGTGCATGTTTAACCTTATAAGAGATTACTGGCTGCATACGGTGGCTCAGACCTGTAATCCCAGCACTTTGGGAGGCCTAGGTGGGCAGATTATGAGGTCAGGAGATCGAGACCATCCTGGTCAACATGGTGAAACCCCGTCTCTACTAAAAATACAAAATTAGCCAGGTATGGTTGCGTGTGCCTATAATCCCAGCTACTCAGGATGCTGAGGCAGGAGAATTGCTTGAACCAGGGAGTCAGAGGTTAGAGTGAGCCGAGATCATGCCACTGCACTCCAGGCTGGTGACAGAGTGAAACTCAAAAAAAAAAAAAAAAAAAAAGAAAGAAATTACCAAACTGTTTTCCAAGGTAGCTGTTTCATTTTGCATTCCAACAGGTGATGTTTGATGTTCCAGTTGCTCCACATTCTGGTCAGCACTTGTCATTTTATTTTTAATGTTAGCTGTTCTAATATGCATTTAGTGAAAACTCATTTATGTTTTAATATGAATTTTTCTTCTAACATATTGAGCATCTTTTCCTGTGCAATTTTTTGCCATCTGTTTATCTTCTTTGATTGAATGTTTGCTGAAATCTTTTGTTCATTTTTAACTGGGTTGTTCATTATTGGTTTGCAAGTGTTTTATACAGTCTGGATACAAATTCATTATCATATGTATGTTCACAGTGTTTCCTTTGAGTCTGTAGTTTGTCCTTTCATTTTCTTAACAGTATCTTTCAAAGAACAGAAGTTTTAAATTTTGATGAAGTACAGTTTATCAGTTTTTTTCTCTTATGATTTGTGCTTTTTTGTCATGAGAAATTTTGCCTAATCCAAGGTTGCAAAGATTTTTTTCTTATGTTTTCTTCCAGAACTTTTATAGCTTTAGATTTTAGATTTAGGTCTGTGACCAATTTCTTGTTAATTTTTGCATGTAGTGTGAGGTAGGGATCAAGACTGACTCTCTCTGTCTCTCTCTCTCTCTCTCTCTCTCTCTCTGTGTATGTGTATGTGTGTGTGTGTATGAATGCCCCAGTCTTGCAGCACCATCTGTTGAAAAGACTATTCTTACTGTCTTCTCTTTGTTAAATTCCCTTGGCTTGCCTTGTCAAAAATCAGTTGACTATGTTTGTGTGAATTGCTTTGTGGACTCCATTTTGTTCCATTGTTTTGTGTGTCTCTTTGGCCAAAACCTCAGTTCTTTTTATGGTAGCATTATATTGTACCTTGAAGTCAAAAAGCCTGAGTCCTCCAACTTTGTTGTTATTTGTCAAAAATTTTTGAGTATTCGAGTTCTTTCTTTTTCTTTCCATGTACATTTTAGAATCTCTTTATTTCTATATAAAAGCATTGTGGAATTTTTAGTAGGATTGCATTGAAGTTATAGATCAATTTGGGGACAGTTGACATCTTAAAAATGTTTTCTAATCCGTTAATAAAATACCTTTCCTGCCCCTGTGCTGTGGCTCATACTTGTAATCCCAGCACTTTGGGAGGTCAAGGTGGGAGGATCGCTTGAGCCCAGGAGTTCAAGAGCAGCCTGGGCAACAGGGCAAAACCCCATCTCTACAAAAATTAGAAAAATTAACTGGATGTGTTGCCATGCACCTATAGTCCCAGCTACTTGGAAGGCTGAGATGGGAGAATTGATTGAGTCTGGGAGGTCGAGGCTGCAGTGAGATGTGATCATGCCACTGCATTCTAGCCTCTGCAACAGAGTGAGAGCCTCTTTCAAGAGAGAAAACAATGAAACAACCTTTCTACATTTATTTGGTCTTTGACTTCTCTGTTTTTAAGTTTTTAGCATAAAAATGTTGCACATATTTTGTTACGTTTTCAATGTTTTTTGAAACGTATCTCAATGTTTTACATTATTTGGTGCTGTTGTAAATGGTAACCTTTAAAAATTTTTAAATTTCCAATTATGTACGTGAATCAATATTTTAATATTCATCTTGACTTTTTGAATTTTACAACCTTGTTAAACTCACAAATTAGTTCTAGTAACTTTCGTAGCTACTGCTGTCTGCTAGTAGAGACAGCTTTATTTCACGTTTTCTCATTTGTTTGCGTTTTATTTTGTTTTCTTGTCTCTCTGCACTGGCTAGGACCTCTACTAATATTAACTAGAACAAGTCAGATCAGCGCAGATCCTTGCATTGCTCTTCATCTTAGTAGAGAAGGTATGTTGTCTTTTACCATTGAGTAGTTAGCTGTAAGTTTTTTATGGATATCATTTTGAGCCAGCTGAGGAAGTTCTCTTTAACTCCTTCTTAGAGCTTTAAAATTTAATCATAAATGGATGTTGTATTGCTTTTTTTGATTGTGAACATGATAGTTGATTATAGTAGAAAGTTGGAAATGAAGGAAGACTATTAAAAAAGTTACCGCATTTTCAGTAATCTGAGGTAACTGCTGCAAACATTGTGGTAGCTTTTGTTTCGGTCTTTTCTTTTGCAAACATATTTTAAAGACGAAATTGTTAATATTGTTTTCTATTTTGCCCTTTTCACTCAGAATCATATTGTGAGTACATCATGAATTATTTTGAGAACTTGATTTGTAATGGTTGTGGGTTATTGTGTTATATGGATATGCCTGTCATTTAATGATTTTCTTTTTGTTAAATAGTAAAATTGTATTTCAGTTTTCGCTGTTGAAATTAACATTAAATATTTGTGCTTAACTCTGATAATTTTTCAAAGTAATTTATAAAAGTATGATTATCACTCAAAGTATATATATATTTTGAGGTTCTTACTGTCCACTGCCTCTGGTGTTCTTGAAATTTGTTCTTTAGGCTATTGTAAGAAATTTGGAGTCAGTATCATTGGCTTTTTGGGCATCACTTTAAGGTAGAATCTTTGAGTTTCAGAAACAGTTCCTTAGAGATTGGTCTAGTTCAAACTATTTTTTAAGAGGTTTAGAGTCTGTAATCATTAAATGACTTTTCTGCCTGTACTATTTTGTTTCTACTGATCTACACAGAATTCCTGATGAATGATGTATAATGTAATATATCACCTGTGCTCTTCTTTTGATTAAGAATTATGGAAATCTTTGTGCCTAGCATCATGTAAAAACCCTTTATGTATGTCGTTTTATTGAATTCCAACTGCTACTTTTTGGTAGTAACATTTTTTCCATTTCATAGACAAAGGAAACCGAGTCTCAAAGTGAGCAAACTTACCTAAGTTTGTATTAACAGTAAGCGGTAGAGCTTGAGTTTGCTCACATGTCTTCCTGAATCTGTGCTTTTATTCATAGGCTATACTATGAGTATTATGTTATTTTAGGTATTTTGTATATATTATGTTTGTTTTGAATATATTAATTTTAATGCTAACAATAACTTTACTAAGCAGATTAACAAATTAGCATGGGATGTTATCAGTACTTCTGAAATGTTTATCCAAATTTATGTCCTCTTAAATCTATTCTTATTTCCTAAGTGGCACAAAGATTATTGTTGGCTATATGCTATCCAATTTTACTTAAATAATCAGGACAATATCTACTGTGACTAGTAGAGGATACAACAATTTATTTTGAAATATGAGAAATTTTGTAGTTATAGGTTTAATAAATGGGATAAAAAGTAATGTTAATTACTTTATAAAATGAGCTCTGTTATAATTCTAGTAAAATAATTTATTTTCCTTAGAAGGATATGTACAATTTGGTATTTACTTTTCAACATGGACTAGGTGAATGAAATAATTAGTTTGCGAAGTATGAAATCACTTTTTCCGTGTATTCAGAGAAGGCTGACTTTTCTGTGTCTACCATCTCCTACGTTTTTTATTATGTTCAGACCTGTGGTTAAAGAGTAGGTCTACATAATCATTTTAAAAAGCTGCTTACATTTTATATTATGAGAGTTCAGAACTTCTGCAATTGTAGTAAAGACAGTGCTGCAGTGTTATGCAAGATCCATTAATTTATGAATACGCTTCACTGACAGACGGGCTTATATGAATATTATTTAAAATCAACATGCTTAGACATCAGTAAAAGATAGTGATTAAAAATGAGATTAAGTATTATTTTAATTATGAATTTTATACAGACAACTTAAAATTAGGTTAGACCTTTTGTTTAGTTTGCCCAAATTGGGCATGAAAAACAAAATAAGCCTGTGAAAGCTGAATGGCATTAAATGGGCCACCCCGAATCAGAAGACAAGTTGAAATGAATAGCTATTTTCCATTTTGCTGAATGAGAAGAATGTTTAATAAATGGTGATAGGTTTCATGAGATGTTTAGATATTTTAAGTTTTGTCTCTTGTTGGTTATGCAGAAGAGATTTGTTAATTTCTCTTTTTATTCAGTCCAGGAATTTATGACTTATGAGTGGAGTGTTGAATCCATTTACAATTAATGTATTTACTAACACTTAAGGTAACCTGTCATTTTGCTATTTTTTCTGTATATCAAGTAATTTTTTGTCATTCCTTAATTATTATGTTATTGCTTTCTCTGCCTTTTTTGTATTAAGTGTATATTTTCTAATGTACCATTTTAATTTCCTTGATGTTTCTTTTTTTTTATTTTTATTTTTTAAGAGACTGAGTCACCTAAGCCAAAGTGTAGTGGCACCATCATATTCACTGCAGCCTCCAGCTCCTTGGCTCAAGTGATTCTCCTGCCTCAGCCTCCCTAGTAGCTAGGACTACAGGTGTGTGCCACCATGTCTGGATTTTTTTTTATTTTTTGTAGAGACAGATTCTCACTCTGTTGCCTGGCTGGTCTTGAACTCCTGGCTGCAAGTGATCCTCTTACCTTGGCCTCCCAAGTGCTGGGAATACAGTTGTGAGCCACTGCACCCAGCTTTGATGTTTCTTTTACTAAATATTTCTTGAGTTATTTTATTTATTTATTTATTTATTATTATTATTATACTTTAAGTTCTAGGGTACACGTGCATAACGTGCAGGTTTGTTACATATGTATACTTGTACCATGTTGGTGTGCTGCACCCATCAACTCATCAGCACCCATCAACTCGTCATTTACATCAGGTATAACTCCCAATGCCATCCCTCCCCCCTTCCCCTCCCCATGATAGGCCTCGGTG